GGACAGGGAGAGACTGATTTTTGAGCCCCAACACAAGCCTCAACTCTTGCACTACCTCACCTTGTGAAAGGCCAACCCAGGCCAAGGCAAAGAGTTGGGACTGGCAGTGGGGTAGGAGCACGGGGGAGAGGTAGGTAACAGCACAAGCCTGATACTGCCTCAGCAGTGAGGCTGGGGACAGACATTGCAGGAGTCTGACACCATACATCCCATAACGCATTTTGTGAGCAGCAAGTGACAAATGTAGGGCAGGGGAGGTGGCCTGCAACCCCCCCTCTCTCCAAGCTGATCCTGTGCCATGGGATGTTGGGGTATGGCAGCTGAGCTGGGCTTAGCTGCCTCCTGGGATTTAGTGTCGATGCGGCAGCATGGGCAGATATTAGCAGGGACGAGGATTTTGTCTTTTGGCAGATGCCAGAAGAACTGGAGCGGCTCAAGGAAGAAAAGTGATGAGCAGTTCCTTTCCCTCCCCCCATTTCTTCAACGGGAAAATGAAGTCTTAGCACTTGAAAATGGAAATTTTGAATTCTAGAAGCATGTAAGACATTGGAGGCAGAGGAAATTATGATTAAAAAGCCAATCTATATCATTAACTTCATGTTCTTTATGCAGAGATGATCTGTGCCCGTGGCATTAAGATACACGTTTCCCATTGTAGAGGGCCCACGACCATCAGGGAGTCAACAACATTCTTATCAGCAACAGACGGTACAGTTTAGAGAAAATCCTTTCCAGTAATGACCGACTTAGCCGTAGTCCAGCTGAAAGCACGGTAAGCACAAAATTCACACCCAGAGCAAGGCTTTCCATTATTCATGGTTCCATACTCTCTGGAGCTCCGCAAACCCGACTGGTTTGTTTTGTAATCTCCCACAACCCTGAAAATCTCCAGAGCTGAATGAAGCCAAGGTCGCCGTGACCTTCCTCCTCCCCTTCCCAGAGGCTACACAGCACCACGCCATCCCCTTTCCTTTAGTCTGAAACCCCGGGGCTCCACTCGGGGGACTATCCGGAGCCGCTGGAGCCCCGGTTGCCACCAGGCACGCCTCCTCATACAGGGGTTCACCTGCCATCTAGTGGGGTTTCCCCATCCCTGCGGCTGCCTCCGCCTGCATCCCGATCCCGGGCGGACAGGGGGCACCGCTCGGGGAGGTGTGAGCTCCGGGTAAGCAGCGTACGGAGGGGTGTGTGTGTGTGTGTCTGTGTGTGTCTGTGGGTGTCTGTGTGTGTGTATGCACCGGGGGTGTGCAGCGGAAGGAGGTTGTGTCTTTCGGTGGGGGGTGTGGTGGTACCCGGAGGGGT